GGGGGGGGGGAGAGGCTTCCGCATCTCACCTTGTGGCTCTGGGGCGGGCGGCGACCACGGTTTACGCTCCGCCAGGCCTGGAACTCGGGTCTTGCTGGGGCTGCTGCTATCTGGAGTCGCTCATCGGTGTCCTCCTTCAGTCGGCGCGGCGCTGCCCCGGGGCCTGCCCGTCCTGACTAGGGCCCAGCAACATGCCGCCTGCTTGACCCCTCTTCCCTCTGGCGCTCTGGGGGAAGCGGGCCCTTGTCCTTGCAGTCTCCCTCTTGGCAGGCCAGGCGGCGGTACAAGAGCCCTATTGTATTATTGACACTACTGCTGCTGCCGCCACCACTACCGCCGCCTCTCAGGCTCCGCCTCTTCCCCTTCCCTTCTCTCCCACCCTGCCGGCAGCGGCGGCGGATCGGCTCTTCTCTCGCGGTCGAGTCCGATCGGGCTGCCTGGCACCTGCATGGCGAAACGCTCCGCCGCTCCCCGGGTTTCTTAGCATCCCCAGCAGGGCAAACTTCCAGAGGTCCGTTATCTGCTTTTGCCTTCCAAAGCTTGGATAATCTTTGTTCTTAAACTCCCCATTTCTTTTTCTAAACCTTAAATTGTTGGGGAAATCGATATATGCCCACTGTCGTCAGTACACTCTTGTCTCCGTAGCGGGTTTTTTATCACGTTCTACCCATCGCGTAGGTTGAGAATAACATTACTTCCACCAAAGAAATGTTACCATGCTTATGTACACGTTAAAATTAATATAGTGCAAAACAAGCTACTTAATGTGTTGGTATACATGGAAGCAGCTAAATAATTGCATTTGTTTTGCTAATAAATAGCAGTGGAATTCACCCAAAGATATTCAGGCAATTCTGGAAAGAAAATATGCACCATATACCCAGCCAATCTTAGTATTTGAAGGTAAGCATAGTTAGTCCTACAGTAGTTAACGGTATTATTTGGATGTCTTGATGGCATGACAGTTTTAATGTTATCTAGCATGAGAAGTTGAAAAAAAATCCAAAAAAGACATAGCGAACCACCTGTGTAACATTGCTAAGAAAACTTTGGATAGAGTCACCAGAAGTTGATCTTCACTTGAGGATATATTTATGTAATTGACAAACAAGTAGAAAAAATTAGAAAATCCATAAATCTTCCTGCAGTCTCTGAAGACAAGACACATTTCAAGTAAGAGAAATTTTAGGAAGAAACAGGATGAGTTGTGATAGAGCAACAATTTACATATGTCAACTGTATGATTGAATAAACAAACCATTTAATACTGTATCTGCTATGTATTATCCTAATACTGATAATATATTGAACAGCCTGATAGTCAATACTTGCACTTTTATGTTAACCAGAGGTGGGTTCCTGCCAGTTCTAACCTCTTCTACAGAAGAGGTTCCACAAATCTACAGCGCCGTTTAGAACCGGTTCCAGCTTCCTCCCCTCGCCCTCCGCACATCAAGATGAAGAGTGAGAGGAGGAATTCTGGGAGTTGAAGTCCACAAGTCTTAAAGCTGTCAAGTTTGAACACCCCTGGGGGTTTTTTCTAAAGGGTTTAGGGGTGCAAAGGTCTTGCAACTTGACAGCTTTAAGACTTGT